CAAATGAGAGAAAATTCAAGACAATCACAGATTGAGATTGATACTGGAATGGTACTGTTCCCTAGAGATGGGACCAACAGTGAACAAAGTGGGCAGCTTACAAAGAATACAACATGTGTGGTATGTGCCATGAGTTTTAATATGGTTTCTTAATAAACAAATTCTCTCTACCCCTGCCCACCCCCAGGATGAAGGTAATGGGAGGGAGGGCAGGGGGAATAGTCTGAAGCCCAGATTTTATAGGAAAAAAATGAGGGCCAGAAAGCCTGTGACTTGCCCAAAGTCATATAGGTAATAAGGGTAGAGCCTCTGATTCATGTTACAACATTTATGGCCTAATACCTTATTGCCTTCTTTAAAATAAAATATTTTAATATGAGGGAAAGGGAAGGAGAATTTGCAAAGAACAAGGGGAATGCCAGGGGGATACATTTGCCAACTTCAACTGAGATCTGCCCAAGGATCTTACTCTTTTTTTCTAGGATGATAAACAGATGGTCATATGTTTACTAATTCTCTTTTTCCAGAACAGTTATGACTAGAGATATTAACTCCACTGCTCCAGGCTATACCTCCCTTTTGATCATGCATGACCTTGCATATAGCTCTTCATGTATATGTCACATGTTCAAGATAGACTAACAATTGTTTGAAGAGAGGACTCCGGACTTATTTAATTCATCTTCATTTACGCACTACCACCAACAACAAAAATAATCACCACCAAACTTAGCATGAAACTCCTACAGAATTCCAGAGTGCTGAGTCTGAAGAGGCCACAGGTATAGAATTGGAAGGTCCCTCAGAGGACAACAAACTCATTTTACAGATGGGACCCAGAGGGATTAAATGTGATACCCCAAAGTACACAGGTATTAAGGAAAGGTTCAAACTCAGGCCCACTGGTTTCAAATCCAGTGCTTTGTCCATCACAACATGTTGCCTCTCACAATTGTACTCATTTTCAGTAGAGAAAGTTCTATTATAACAAGCTCATAATCCTACTGAAAATTCAAAGACTGGAGGCAGCTAGATGGTGCAGTGGATAGATCACTGGCCCTGGAGTCAGAAGGACCTGAGTTCAAATCCAACCTCAGACACAAAATACTTATTAGTTGTGTGACCCTGGGCAAGTCACTTAACCCTGATTACCTCAAAAAAGGGGGGGAGGGGGGGAGGGAGAGAGAGAGAGAATTCAAAGACTTGTTTTTCAAAAACCAACAAAGAATTGAACCTACCATTTATCATTCAAATAAAGCTACAATGTACACATCATACAGGTTTACAGTAAGAAAATCTTTTAGCCCGTATTTTGGAAAGATGGGCAAAGAGTAGAAGGGCACATTGCTTTGTGCACCCTGGAGCCATAAATTCAAATGTGAGAGAGAATGCAAATGTCCTGACCATTACAAGATGCCCAGAGCTATTCATTCCACTCTACAATGATGGCACCTCACCAGGCTTCCAAGACTCCTGCTCTTCTTTCTTACCATAACAAACTATTTAAGGAAAAAAATATGGTAATCAACTGACTTGTTCCTAATGCAAGATTCTAAATTTAGCAGCTTCTGAAAATTTCAATGAGTTAGCAGTCATTACATATAAAGTTTATAATGAGGTAACATAATGAGAGAGTGAAGAATGTGCTGGAATTTAGAGTCAGAGTACCTTTCATCTTTATTATAACATATATGATCAATAGTAAGTCATTCAACACCCCAGGGTCTCCATTTCCCCATCTACAAAATGAGGGGGTTCAATGAATTGATCTTGAACTAGATAAGAACTTAATCTGTGACTCCAAATGCCTTTGACCTTGCAAAATAGAAAAAGGGGGTAGGCAAGGGCAAGAGAAAATAACCAAGAACATCAGTACATGTGAAAATCATTTTTCCCAAGTTGGTCTAAAAACATCCTCTAAAGTTTCCCAGGTATAGCATCTGGGCAGTGTCACCCCAATTTCACAGAAAATGTACCTATCAATCACAGAAAAAACAATAATATAATAAAATCACAGAAGACCTGAAGACAATTCTACTTTTAACCCTGTTTAGCCTAATATGTTGCTTTTAACACAAGGATCAAGAACTGGGTGATTATTTGAGCTTCTGAGTTGTAAGATGATGTTTGACAGTAATCACAAAGAATAGATAGAATCAACAGAGAAGTCAATCAGTGAAACAGAATATGTGTACAATAGAAACAAATGAGTCCAGTAGCTTTGGGCTTGAGAAACCCAAAAATCTCATCTATTGGGATAAAAACTGTCTAACAAAAACTGATTGGAACTGGAAAGCAAACTGACAGAAATTAGGTACAGAGTAACACCTCACAACATGTACAAAGATAATCCCCAAATGCGTACGTGACCTGTTCTAGACATTAAGAGTAATATCACAAACAAATCAGAAGAAGGCAATTACTTTTCAAATTATAGATAAGGAAATAGTTTGTGAGCAAACGAGATAGAGAATATCTCAGAAGGGAAAACGGATAATTTTGATTGCATTAAAATGTTTTTACACAAATAAAACCAATCCATCTATAACTAGAGGAGGAGGAGGTAAATGGGGGAGTGGGAGACAGATGGAAGGAGGCAGCAAGGGAAGGGAAGCTTCTCTGATAAAGGTCTCTTTTCAGAAAACGGTTCCAAATTTACAAGAATAAGATACGTTCCCCATTTGATAAATACTCAAAAATCATAAACAAGCAGTTTTCTGAGTTAGATATATTTAAGCTACCAATGGCCATATTTTTTAAATGCATTAAAAATCACTAATAATTAGAGAAGTACAAACTAAAACAACTCTAAAATTTGACCTCACCATCAATCAGATCGGCAAAGTTGGCAAAAATAAAAAATAAAAAATGCTTGGGGAGCTGTGGGAAAACAAGTACATTAATGTACTCTTGGTGGAGTTGTAAACTGGTCTGGCCATTCCAGAAAGCAATCTGGAAATGTATGCCCAAAAGGTTATTAATAGGCCATACCCTTTTACCAGGGATATTACTACTACTAGGTCTATACACTCAAAGAGACAAGGGAAAGAAGGAAACATACAAACATATAAAAATATTTTGCAATGAATGGCAAAGAAATGGAACCTGAGGGAGCAATCTATCCATTTGAGAATGGCTGAATTAAAGTTAGGTCGTATTTGAATTTGATGAAATATTATTATGGTGTGAAAAATAATGAAATAGACAGCTTCAAAGAAAACTAGAAGACTTGTATGAATTGATGTAGGGTGAAATGGACAGAAGAGCAACAAGAATTTATACAAAAGCAACAATAATGTAAAAATAAACTTTGAAAGACCTGGGAACTCTAAAGAAAAAAAATGACCAAACATGATGTCAAACAACTCCAGATGAAACAGGCTATCTACTTACTGGAAGAGTGGTCACAGACTCAGGAATCCAAGGGTACTTAATTTTTCTATCTTAAGGCAAAAGGAGAAATTAATTTTGCTTGATTATAAATGCTAATTACAGAAGTTTTATTTTCTCTATTGGGACAGGGGAGGAAAAGAAAGGAGATTTTCATTAATTAAAATTTTTTTGAAAATTTTTTGAAGATAATACTTGACATTTTCCCAAAATTTACTAAACAACAGTGAAATACCAATCAATCAACATACATACATTTAAGTACCAACTGTGTGCCAAGGACCAACTATGTTAGGAGCTAGAAATACAAAGAGAAAAATCAAACAGTAACTATTCTCAAGGATCTTATTAAGGCTGAAGGGGAGCTGTTGGTATAAATAACATTTACACAAAAAACACAAACCTATTAAGTGTTACAAAGAAATCAAGTTTAAGTGGCATTGACATAACCTCAAAGGCTAAGTTCTCCAACTGCCAAATCAGTTGACCTTCCCTAAATTAACAGGATTAGATCAAAGTCTTCCAGTGTTAAAAGGGGCCCACAGAGATCTTCAAGCCCAAGCCACTAGTTTCAATCTAGACAACTGAACTAGACAATCAGCGTGTAAAGAGAAATTACTTTTGAATAAAAGCATAATCTTTTAGAAATGGATCACACTTTATCTTTAGGCTGTTCACAAACACTCTGCCAAGAGTTCTTCCCTGGATAGACACCCCTCCCTTCAGAGTAAGCATTATAAACAAATTAGATTAAGTGCTGACAGTAAGTCTCAAATTCTAGAAGATGCTGGTAGTTGGTTCTCACTATACGTGTATGTGGCCAAACTAGTCATTTCCTTCCAACATACTCAATTCTTTGCCAACAGTTTACTTTAGCAGAGTTTCCTATAAGTACCCTCACATCTGGAGGAAGGGAAGAAGGCCAAAGGGGAAGGGAATTCTTTGCCCTTGCAAATATTTAAACTGAACATAGTCTGAGAAAAGTTTCCTACCAGAGGTCACAAAAAAAAGTAAAGCTAAGCGTGTAAAAAGTCAAGAAGAAAAACCAAGTAGGTAAAAGGTCAAGAGAGAAAATCCAATTTTAAACAAGTCTGAGGAAGACAATGAAATAAAAGTGAATGAGCTTTGGATATAAAAGGTAAGGAAGACGTTGGAATATGTTATAAAAGAAGACAGTTGATGAAAAGAATCACTATCACTATCAATAGTTGGTTCTGTGAAACCTTAAACTGTCAATTCATTATCACATTTTTCAGAGTTAACTGCTGTTTTCAGCCTTATTTTAAGAATATCCTTTATAGCTGATATTTTTTCTGTAAGGTAAGAAAAACGGAATACAACACATTCTTCTTTCAAACAAGGATGTAAGCCCATCTTTACTTTCTTATTTAATGGAAATTAAACTAATTCAATTGCAGAAAGCCCAGAATCAAGCCTCTAAAATCCCCAACACTTCAACAAACTTTGTACTAGACATTGCCCCTAACCCTACATAAAATTAAAAAGCAGGGTCCCCATCTTGCCCTGCTGCTATGATCATTGGTAACTACTGATGTGGTATATGATTATAGCATATAGTTAGGGTAATCAGTTTTCTCACACACACTGACCTTTTCCTGGATGGCCCTTCTTCAAAATCTGAAGAACTAACATCGTTGCTAGTTGAGGACACTTGTGATGCGTCGTCCTTCTCATTCTCTGACTGTTCTGATGCTGGTCCTAATCCCTTAGATTGGCCATTAGCGAGGAGCCCTACAGGTGAGAAAAGGGAATATCACATGGTTAAAAGGAACGTTGGAGAGCAGCATACTGGGATGCCGATGGCATGCTGCAGCCTGAACGTAGACCAAAATTTGAAGCAGAAGCTTCAAAGGGGGATGAACAATTCTTTAATTAAGGAGTATAAGAAAGTTGGGACTTAACCCTAAGTTTGACAGCTGGAGAACAACAAAGAAATAAGTCTGCAATGAGAAAGTAATTCAACGAGAAGAAAAAAAACCTAACAAACTAATAGGACAAATTCTGCAACTGTCTGAAGAACTGCCTAAACTTCAGTAGCATCCACCAATCAACCTGTAGTTCAGAAGATGACACAGAAGTGATAGTGAGGCATAATTATGAAATATGGACAACATAACTTACACACCGCCACAAATTTAGAGTTGGAAGGGACCACAGAAGTCCCTCAGATAAAACACCCTGATTTCACAAAATAGAAACCTGAGCTACAGAGAGCTTAAGACACTTGCCCAACATTCCACAGAGAAGTAGGTAGAAAAACCAAGATGTGACACCAGGTCCTTTGACACCTCATCTAGAGTTCTTTCCACTGAACCAAGTCTGGAAGGGTTGTCCTTCCTTGTGGTCTCCTTGGAAAGTGACGCTGCCATAACTCAAAATAATTTTTGGGAACTCTGGTTTAAGGACTAATTTGGAACTTACTGGTGACCCCACAGAAGAAAAATCACAACATCTTTCTAACAAAATATGATATTGTCCAACTTCATAGTTTGTTCCCTAGATTCAGTTTTCAATGGATTTTTGGCAATTTCCAAAAGTCAAAACTCTGCTTAAAGGACAAATGTTTGCCACCACTAACAATATGGAGCCATGTAGCATAGGCTTAAAGGAAGTTCTGAGAAAGCCTTTTATTCTAAAAGGTTTGGTTGCTTATTCCTCATAATAAAACGGGGTATTTTTCTTGCTGTTTTCCCTATTACGTGCTACTCCAGGATAGGATTTGTATTCATTAAAAAGGAAAATTCTCCACCATTTGGTTTTTTAAATAATCAGTAGATTATAGATAAACAAAAATGAAGGGGAAAGTAGTGTTGCCTCCTTGACTCCTCTTCCTCTCCACCCATAAACTACTCTCTTTATTACTCAGCCTCTGATCCCATCAGCTAGGGCTGGTACTACCAGTTCTCTAGAGTCTCCTAAAAATAGAATTACTCTGAAGAATTCCACGTACTCTTTTCTCAACATTTCTCAGTTTCCAAGTCCCCTCCCCAATCTCTCTCAAACCAAAGTCATCCCAAAAGACCACCACTATAAGGTACAAATAATTTTTCCATAACTTAATTCTGGTTCATAATATATCTCCCTGGTGCCTATTTCTCTCTGCTCTGCTTTTCTATACCCATACTCTTTAAGAAGTCAATTAACTCTCCTTCCTGCTCGAACACTTGCCTTTCCCACCAATTAACTGAAATATGGCTTTTCCCCTTAGGACATTCTATCTCTTAGGCACCGTCCCCAATACATATTATCTCTCACAGAACTCCACACTTCTAACCCTTGATTCACAGGGGCAGGAAGAGGCATAGATTAACTCTTTGCTCCTGGCTGCAACCTCCTATATCCTCATGTTATTTACTATCATTCAATCATCTCATGAAATTTAAGTCATTCTCCACTGCCCTCAATGACATCAGCACATGGGCTTACTGTCTTCCTGTTGTCCCATTCTCCTCCCCGGTAACTTGAAAATTCAATAGATCCTTCCTACTATACGGCTATACATATTTTCTTCTCTCATTGACTAATAATATATGATCTCTACTTCCTACTCTAGGTCATACCCTCTTACCATCACTCAAAACCGTTTATCTCCAAGATCTCCAATTTTGAAATTGGTCATCCTCATTGTAATTTCCTGTACTTCCACCTCTCTCTTAGCCTATCCAAAAAAACCTGTTCTTTATTCTCATCAGAAAATCAATGGTACTTTCTTCTCTCCCTACAAATACACTCATCAAGCCTCTCCAAATCTACAAACATATTTTACTTAACTATGAAATGTCTGTCTGTCCATCTTTGTGTGTGTGTCTCTCTCTAGCTTCGCTACTACAGAGCAAAGACACTCCTTCCTTACATTACCATCCACTCAGTGTCCACTTTTATTTTTGTTGGCTGCTCTTCATCCTGAACCATATTTTTTCCTTCTTCCTTTCTTCTCTCTAATCTCTCCTGAGGAAAAAGGTAGATCCTGAAAACTATAGAAAATCAGAGGACAAGCAACAGCAAGATTTTGACATTAAAACTATAGAACAGATGAATAAGTGATTCCTAAACCAACTTAAAAAAAAAAAACTAAACTCTAAACATTGACAAATGGGAACAAAATCAAGAAATATAAAAATAGATGCAGAATATGGGCTGTAAAATATAAGTTTTCAGGGGGTTACATTTTTGGTTTTATATCTTTTGTTACCACAAAATCTATCAAATAAAAAAGAAGATGTATCAAATCTGTCAATTTTTAAAAACAAATCTCTCGGAACCATCATATGGGTTCATTCTGCCAAGTGAAGCTTAGCTCCTTTTCTTTTTTTTTAATGAAAGAAAATCTTTTATCATATCTTATAAACAAGATGGCTATATATGGGTATATATATGAGGATTACAGTTATATGAATTCATATATCTCACTGAACAACCATACTCAAAGAAGTGCTGATTAATGGAATAATGTTCAGCTAGGTAAAACTCTCTAGTGTCATAAAGAAAGGCCCTATAATTAGTCTGTCCAATTCAACAATTTTATAAATGACTTAAAAGATATAAAAGGTAGGCTCCTCAAGTTTTCAAATGACAAAGCAGAGAGATAGATAGTATAACGGATGACAAAAAGGTTCAGAGAGAGTAGGACTTTCAGGTTTGTAAGGAAAGCAAACAAAGATACAGGAAAAATCCTGAATTTAGGCTTAAAACACACACACACACACATACATACACAAACACATTTGCAGAAGTAGGACAAAGAATACTTGACTTCACAATACCTTGTATGTGAAGAGATCTAAGGTTTAGATTACTGTTAAGTTGTGAATGAGCCAAATATGTGATACATCCGTTTAAAAATCACATGTAATAAGGCTATGGTGACAAAAAGTGCCATTCCTAAATGAAGGAAAGTAATATTATCACTGTCCTCTGTGTTAAGACACTATTTGCCACATTTTTGTAAGTCTTTTGTTTTTAAAACACTTTCATTTCTAAACATATCTCTCTCCACTCTCCTCCCAGCAAGCCCTCCCTTGTAATAACAGGTTAAAAAGAGGAGAAAAACAATTCAAGAAAATTAACCAACACATCAATTGATTCCAACTATATATGCAATACTCCACTGTATTGCGTGTATTAGGAGAAAAAAGTAAAAATCTAGGGGGAATCCCAATGAAAATAATCAAAAAGATAATGATCTTGAAACCATGTTATATAAGTAACAGGTAAAAGAAATTTTCGTATCTATGGGAAATCTTTTTTCAATATTTTTTCAAGATTTCAAGACAGTCATCACCTAGAAGGAAGAATAGGCGTTATTGGATGAATTTTAGAGAAGGCAAGTTTCAATTTAACCTTTTTTTTTTTAAACTACAAAATGCAACATTTTTTACAACTAAATCTGCAAAAGTGGAATATGTACTCTGACTCAAAAATAACTATTGCAGGGCACCTCCGCCCAAGAGGTGAAAGAGTGAAATGCGCCACATAAATATAAATATTTCTAACAGCACTTTTTCTAGTAGCAAAGAAACTAGTAATTTGTGATAAATCCATTAAGAAATGGTGAATTGTGCTATACTAACAAAACAATATTGTGGCATAAGAAATTACAAATATTAAGAAATCAGAAATTTGGGAAGGCTTGTACAAACTGATACATAGTAAAATAAGATGCAAGAAAACAACTCAAAAGATAAACACAACAGCATAAAGGAAAATGACATTAAAAGGCTTCTGAGCACTGATCAATGCGATGACCAATCATAAATTCAAGACCTGATGGTGAAGCATGCCTCCTACCTCCCAGCAAAGAGGTAGGTGGTAGGCAACAGATAAGAAAGTAAGAATACATTTTCAGACAAGACCAATGGGTTGATTTGTTCTGTTTGATTATATCTGATACAAAAAAGGATTGAGAGGTTGGTGGGAAAGAGGAGTTATTGGAAAGTAATAATGATATTTTTAAAAAGAGGACCAATAAAATATTTATAGAAAAAAAATGGAATGTTCGAACTGTTATATGAGGTAGGTGACCACCTACTATATAAAATGTTTAAGAAGAAGCAAGATGATCATCTGTTAAGGATATGGCATAGAACAAATTCCTGCTTTTCAGGAGCAGTTTTTGCTAGGTGACTGTTTAGGGTCTACTCAACAATTCTTAAGATTTTACAATTCCTTGCAAAGTGTCAGAGAAAGAAAACAAAAAGCTGAAGTAAAAATCCCTGAGTTTGAATCCCAGTTCTGCTGCACAGAAGCTGCGTGGCCTTGTATAAATAACTTAATCTTTCTTAATCTTTTAGTTTCCTCATCTGCTAAAAAGAAAAATAAAAAAAAGAGGGTAAGACACATACAGTCCTTTCCAGCTCTGGAAGATAAAATTATGATCTATATTTTATAATTATCTATATAAGCATATTTTCGGTTATAGAATATTACCTAAAATATATTTAAATCGCCTACATTTTATAATTATTTATAACTATATTTTATGTATTATTAAAGAATATATAAAAATTGTACCCCCAGGGAGACAAGTTGTTGAGGTCCCACAATGCTTTGAAACTGGGACCAAATAAACATTGGCAGACAAAATGCAACTTTTGAATGCCTCTCCCAATGGATGTAGTCCTTGGAAATGGCTCCCAAGACTGATGGTGGTGGTAGCAGCAGCCAAGATGGCAGCCTCTCTCCCATAGCTACTTTAACATAAATGGAAAATGTGGCTACATGGCATTTGGCTA